ACACACACACACACACACACACACACACACGGGTTTGCGCATATTTTCTCCCTCCTTTCTTCATTCTTGGCTGGGGGAGCTGACGGTTGGAGAGGCACAGCTGCCTGGAAGGTGGAGGCGTGATTGATTGATGAAGTTTTTGTGCCCAGGGGATCCAATCATGTAATCAGTTTGTATTGATTGGCTGTCCCCATTGAGAGACTGCTGAGGCTCTGCCACCATGTGCGCGAGCTAGACCTGGCACGCATTCAAAATCTTATGCAGTCAAATTTGATTCGGGTGGCGAGGTCGCCTGAGTCCACGCGTCGGGGATGCACAGAGGGAAGACATGCCATAAATCACACTGCAGACGTTTCGCAACACTCACCACAATTCTCTGCTCCAATTCCTCATTATCTTGCGTTTATTTCAATTATTATGATTGAGAAATGAATTCAGCTTTACTGTAATTGCATCACATGGTTAATGATCTGATCTCCCTGGAATTTAAATAGGGCTTCAACCTGGGTTTGCATAGCTAATGAGGATCCCCCCCCCCACCTCTCACTTTCCTGCTTTATTCAGACTTTTCTCTCTCATTTCACATTTCTGACTTATATTTCAAGTGTCAACTTATTGTTACTGTGTGATGCAATTCACATGGTTCCTGCACCAATGGTGAAAGATGGGATTTATGAGTGCAAATGAAGGTCTTTTTGTGAAATAAAACATTTAAGGAGCTCTGCCTTCTCTTTTTGTGGTGCAAAACACATTTGGCGATGGTTATGCAATTTAAAGCAGTCAAACAAAGGGGTTTGTAGTAAGAAGATGAAAAGATAAAACTCTTTTCAGTGTGTGGTGACTAACGGGTAGATTTTATCAGCAATAATAAAGGGGTTTCCAGCTTACTCACCACTTTACATCTTTACAAACAGTTTCACATCCTCACACAGCTGCCTCATTACAAAGACCGCCCTGCTTATTTCGTTTGCTTCACTGCAACAGCACTTCTTGTCTGTAAGGCAGAGGTGGGAGAAGAGAATCGAGAACCCGTCACTGGTGGGCATTTGTTCTCCATGCTGGCATTTAATAAGCCCCAAAAGATTTCTGCCTCAAAGTCATTCCAAAGTCAAATTAAGGCTGAGCTCAGTGAGCATGTTTATCTTTAAGTCTCGCTGCATCGCGGCTGTAACCTCGGGGGTGGACAAGTGAATGAGTATAGCAGCAGATGTTTTCTGTGTACTCCTCTCAGTCTAAACGTTACAATGCGCACACCATTTCCAGGTGACATGAATGAATAATGAAGAGATCACAGTATAGTGCTTACAATCAGTCTGTGAATTGTGGCTTCCAGTAAGAATTGGCACATTTTCAGTGATTTACTTTTGAGCACTTCTCACTCCTGCACAAATGAACAGGCTGTCATTTCACGCAAACAGCTTCTCTGTAAGTGAGTTAAGTTCAAACTGATCGCTAGAAATGAGTTTACAACGGATTACGTCTTAGAAACGTCTATTTGTCATAGAACAAAATATAAATGTACAAGAGGACATGTTGTGAATCTGGAGAAATAGATTGACGCATGTTAATAGGCATTTTTGAAATGTTAGGGAACAATCACCCAATGTGAAGAAAGTCGTGGTTCTTTAAATGTTTCATCACCCTTTTGAAGCAAGAAAACATACCGAACAACGCAAGCTGAAACTGAAATTGGGTGGTCATCAAACTGAGAGCATGCTGTTAATCTCTTTTCATTTAAAGCTGATGTTTAAACCACAGTGGGACAGTGGGAGCTCACATAGACAACTAATATCCCTCTACAAAAGTACAGTAACCATTGAATCACTGTGTCCTCTGTATTTTTCTGTGTCTCTGCAGATCAGAGTGGACGGTCCTCTGGTGGGAGGAGTGCTGTACGAGACAGTGACCGTGATGAAGGATAGCAGCCCCATCCTCCGGGATATGGCCTTCTCCCTGGACAGGAACTTTCTCTACGTCATGTCTGACAATCAGGTGAGGAAATGCCCTCATTTTGCTGCTGCTGTCGTGGGGAAAACGCTCAGCGGCGGGGTGATGCAGCGAGTAGCGAGGCCGTCCTTCAGCTGGAAGCCAGCGAGTTCGTGGCCCCCATGACAGCGAGCGTTCACAATGCCGACATGTCCTTGAGCGAGAGACTGCCACTTTAGTAGTTTTACTTCACATAAAAAAGAGAATTTGTTTTGCCATTTGCGGGGGAAATTTGTACAAACAAACATACAATATAATATTAACAGGTGTTTTTAGGTAGCGAACTCTTGAAAAAATATATTGGATTCAGTTTAATTGGAAAAAGATACCAGCAATTCAGTTAGCCTTATTGTTCTGTTCAGCTTGGGAATTAGCAGTAAAGCAGTATTAAAACAAAAAACATTTATTCATGTTGAATGATAAAGTAATGCTATTTATTTGGAATCCAACCAGATGATTATCCCCAAAATCCAATGTGGCATCTTTCAAACATTCACAAGCTGAGGGGATTGTTAAATGTGCAGTGTGTGTGTAAGGGGACGGGCCGCTGTTCTAATTGCTTATCCACGCGAATCGCCTTACAGTGCATGCATCTTTTGTACATGACACACACATCCCACAGAAAACCATTAGCGGCTTCTTCTTTTTTCTGTGTTGCTGTATAGCCCCCCCCCTTGCCTGCTCCTCACTTGGCCCGGCATCACAGAGGCGAGCAGTTGTTGTTGTCGTTGGACGATATTCTCTGCACTCATTGCAGATAAGAGTGAACAGTGGTAATCACTTTCAACTCCCATCAAGTGATTATTTTGGCGCAGCTGCATGGCACTGTGAAATGGGATTAGGTGTCAGTGCGGCCCCAAAAAAGAAAAAGCCCCTATCACTGCTCTCAGTTGTCTTCTGACTGCTGGAATGCATCGAGCCGGAGTCACAGGACAGACAGGCAAAGGGCATCGGTACAATTGCAGTTCTGTCTGTTATTTCTTTTTTTTTCAAAGTGGCTCTAAAACTCTCTTCTGGGAATCTTGAAAAAACAGTCCAGAAAAACTATAAAAAGCATCGAGTTAAACAAAACAACAAGGGAGAGAGACTAGAGACAGTATTGCATTGGGCGCCGTCTTCTAAAACAGCAGCAGTGGCAGCTCCTCCTTCTGTCTGATGGACTGGAAGAGACAGAGCATCACTTATTGATGAGCTCCGGTCTTTCAAGGAGAGACGCATGCTTCCTTCAAGGAGATGGCCGGCCACTCTCTTCACTCCGCCTCCAGTGACACGTAAAAACCGTGCTACTACCAAACGCGGCTCGGCCACGCGCTTTCTCTCAATATTAGAACAGCTTTGGCTCTGTAGCCCCGAGGAGCTCTGGAGCAGAGCGAGGCCTTCCTCTCTCTGTCTTCCTCTTCATCTTTGCTCAGCTTTTTCCCTTCCGATTTTCCCCCTGCTCGGGTGAGGAATCCCCCAGAGGGAGGGCTTCACGCACAGATTTCCCACATTTCTAGTAGATCCCGGGGATGAGAGGTTTTCTGATTCCTGGGAGCCAAACAATACAGGAATGATGTGGAATGAGGAGCGAGGCACAGACAGATTTGGCTGAGATCAGCCGACCCTCGTGGAATAACAATGAGCCTCTCCGTCTCCTGCCGAGTGAAACACGCAGGGTTAGCATGATGATGAAGAGTGAGGAGAGAAAAGCGGGAATCAGTGTGTGTGTGTGTGTGTGTGTGGATGTACGTGCTTGTGTCTGTGTCCGCAAAGCATCATTTGGGATCCATTATTGATATGAAAAAAGAAAATAACTCTTCCCAGCAGTTAATCTTTCTTCCTCTTCCTGCCTTTAGTTTGATCATTTCTAAGAATAGAAATGCTCGGTATCCAAACACACATTCACTTCGCTGAATGTCACTCGTCTGTCTGGGAAATGATGGCGAAGGCTTTAAACCTTGGAGAAGAGGGGAAACTGCTGCAGGGTTTTTCCAGGGCAATCTCCCAAACTGCCACTCTCTAAAATGTTAAATTAATGCACCCATCCACTTCTTTCTTTCTCTCCACCTCTGTCTGTCTGTCTGTCGGTCTCTACAGCAGTAGTTCTCAACCATTTCAGAAAAAAATCTGACACACCCCCACAGCTCAGATCAGATCAGACAAGCTCACGTCTACCAACACCATCAGTACTGTTCCAGATGTGCTCAATTTTAATGGATTTTTAACTGGAAGTTATATGATTAATTAGGTTCAGTCAAGTTTACACTGTACAGTGTAAATCTTTTATAGTGATCATGTCTGTCCGGGTTAAATTGATTGCTATAAGCGAATGATTGATTTTCTTTATTTCTCATGCAGATTACCATGTAATTGACATTTGTACATGTATTACATGACTATAAAGTAATGAAACGGATTTACTGAATTTTACTGACTGTTTCAAATTACAGTACACCTTCAACAACAGGTGCTTTTCCCCATTGGCATTTGTTTTCTGTCTCCATCACTGCAGCCATGACAAGGTGGCCTGGCACCAAGTTTCACGGCTGCATGCCTTTTGCCCGTTTTTGGCGGTTTGTCATAAATGTCAAGGAGACTACGTTTCTCGTTGAAAGAAAATCACTCTTGCTCTGGTCCAGAAGCAGACAGGTTACCACGAGGCGAAGTATCATGGGAGTTGAGGAAAAGAACAAAGAATTACTGTAGATTTAAAAATGTTTCCATGTATTGTCATGTATGAAAAAGACCCAAAAAGAACCCTGTAGGCGGACGACTTGATAAGCAAATCATTTAAACAGCATTTGCAAAGGAATAATTCTGTCCCAGATGTTGTTTAGGTGTTATTTAACGCTGGTTGTCGGGAAGTGTGTCCTGGTAGTTTACTGGTTATTGTGACAATAAATATCGATAAGATCAGCTTCACAGCAATTTGTGTTTGCTGTACAGCATGTGCACTTAACAGGCTTTGAGAAAGTTAAAGGGGATCTACATTAAAGTGAAGCTACTTGCTCTATACCAATGATGGAAAAACAAAAATACAACTATACCCAAACGGTAGCACTTTATAATAACTACACACTATGAAGCATTAGTTAAGTATGAGTAAACACTTAATTCATCATTTATAAAGCATTGTTCCTACATTAATAATTCATTAGTATGCAGTTCATAACAGTTATAAATGTTTTATTCTTGATTAATAAGCTCGTCTATTATGTGTTTCATTATTGTGTTTTCATACTTTATAAATGATGGATTCCCCATTTGTAAATGAAGTATTATATATTTTACAAACCAATTATTAAGGAGTTGTAGATGATTAATAAGATCATTTATAAAGTGTTAGTAAATGATTAATAACATATTTAGATGTACATTATTCATGCATTTATATATATAATGGTTAGGGACTATGTTAATATATGCTTTATAAACGCATATTAATACTGCAATTCATGATTAATTCATCATTTATTAAGGTAGTTACTACTCGTTAGTAAAGTGTTTTATGTGACCTCATCTAAAGTGAG